TTTTTTTCTTTTTTTCCTCCTCTAAAAACTATGTGCGTCTTATGGTCAGGTGCGTCTTATGGTGCGAAAAATACGGTATTTTTCTGTATCTCTACCAGTCCTGTATCTTAGCAGCTATTGGCTAAGAAGAATAAATGCCAACGGGTGGAAGCTAACCAAAGAGAGAAGCAACCTAGAACTAAGGAGAAACTTCCTGACGGTTAGAACAATTAACCAGTGGAACAACCTGCCTCCAGAAGCGGTGAATGCGCCAACACTGGAAGTTTTTAAGAAGAAACTGGACAGCCATTTATCCGAAATGGTATAGGGTTTCCTGCCTGAGCAGGGGGTTGGACTAGATGACCTCCAAGGTACCTTCCATCTTTATTATTATTATTATTATTATTATTATTATTATTATTATTATTATTATTATTATTATTATTATTATTATTATTATTATTATTATTGACTTCTTCTAGACATTTATTTACCACTTTATATATCACAAGAAATATAGCACATCATGTTTTTTGCAACAGACGAAAGTGTTCCCTAAAAGATACCCCATGTTCACCTCATCCATACTCATATGGGGGTCTTCCAACCCAAAAGGGCTTATAAACTTAATAGTTGCATTATTTTGGAAATGTTGTCAGCTCTTCCCCAGTATAAACTTAGCCTATTAAGAATAAAGGCAAATATCTGAAATTCAGTATGAGGGATATTACTAAGAGCAGTTACCTCCATTTTCAAATGAGATCATGATATCTGCTTCTCCTGTTTTTGCCCTTATGAAGTTCAGTGGGGCAGCAGCACTCCATGTTTTCAGACCCATCTCCACAGCCTTGTCAACTTCTGCCTGAGTTAGGCTAGATGTGTATTTTTTTAACCTGTGGAGAAGAACGCACATGTAGAATATGAGAAGGCTGAGCCCAAGGAAGGGGTTAAACAGGTCATTAGACCCGAGTCCCTTCATGCCCACAAGAGTTCTAAGTCCAGGCCACCTTGAATTCCATTGACTCTTATCTACCACCAATTTGCTTTGACCGTTAGAGGTTCAGATTCTTGTCTCTACAAGTTTGCAATAAAACTATATGTTCATTTGAACTGCCTGGACTCCTGAGTTCCTGCCCTTGACAGCACAATTCTGGATGTACATATGAAAAGATGGGAATGAGACTATAATGTAGATAGTTAGGAAAAAGGTCTCAGAGTACATGAAGCAGTTATAAAGCAATCGTAGCTATGCTGGTCCTTAGAGCAAAAAGCCAAAATGGATATCAAGGCAATGTTCTTATTTGGAACATTGAGGTTTTTCTTGAGGTTTTCAGAATTCTTCATCAGGCATTATGGTTGCAAAAAAGAAAAGAAAAGAAAATTGAAATAAGTTATAAAAGAAAGAAATAGTTTGATCTTATTTTAATCTATGGAACCAGGAATTACAGATAGTCCTTGAATTACAACACTTAGTTTAGTGACCATTACACAGCATTGAAAAAAGTGACTTCTGACCATTTTTCACACTTACAACCATTGCACCAACCCCATGGGCATGAGATCAAAATTCAGATGCTTTTCAACTGACTCATATTTATGACAGTTGCAGTGCCCCGGGGCCATGTGATCACCTTTTGCGACCTTCTGACAAAGTCAGTGCGGAAACCCAATTCACTTAACAGCTGTGTTATTAACTTAACAACTGGCAGTGATTCACTTAACAACCGTAGCAAGAAAGTTCATAAAATGGGGCAAAATTTAACAATTCTCTCGTTTAGTAATAGAAATTGTGGGCTCAGTTGTGGTTGAGGATTATCTGCATTGTTTATTTTCAAAAGAAATTGGATTAAAAAAAATCTATGAAAAAATTATTGCATGGCAACACTTTAAATTTAGTAGATGGAAAACCCTGTCAACAGCAGCTTACAGTTTAAAGCCATATAATTGTTTACGATAGTTTGCAGTGATAGTTTTAAGCATCCTGTAGATGGTGCTCTAGTTATTTGTGAGTTATTAGTTGAATCAGTCATTCTGATGGTGTTGGTCAGAAAAAAAATTCATGTAACGCCCACTCAACTAAAACAAATGCATTCAGTATGGAGTTAGTAAAGATTAAATGCTCTCATGCAGAAGTCATAAATTGGAGAAACAGTCCATCCGTAGGCTTGTCAGTGGATCTTGATGAAGGAGGGAAAAATCCTCTTTTTTCTTTTCCAATTTTTGTCTAGATTTTTTTTTAATGCAACTGTGTTATCTGAATATAAACTTTTTAAACACCGAAAGATAGAAGGTAAGGTATGAAAGATGGGATATTTTCACATGAATGTATATATATTTATATATATTTATTAAATTTATATACCGCCCTATCTCCCTTGCGGGACTCAGGGCGGTGAACAGGCGATACTAAAAACCATGATAATAAATAAATAGTTTGTTATTTATTTGATAGTATCTTATTTGAAATATCATAAGGATGTTTCTCATATCTTAAACTTACACCTGAATATGTGAACAGCTTCCTTTGAAAAATATAGGTTGAGGATGAAAGTTCGTTCTACATCTTCACCTAGCCTGGTAACGAAACATTCAGAAACCAACCAACAAGCTTGGAGAACAAATCTTCACCCTCATCCTACACCCGAGCTACAGATATTAACCACTATTGCAAATATAGGTTGGTACGTTTGTTAGTGATGTTTGACTCCTGATGGTCATATCTTTGGGGAAATATTAAAATCCTACATCACCGAAGTACTGGCAAATGCCACTTGTGCAGCCAATAAGCGAAAGAGAGATTTGCCCACCTCCCCTAGATGGCAAATGTTGATATACCTCTATAATCATTATTGTATAGACCAGGGGTAGGTAACCTCGGCTCTTTTATGACTCGTGGACTTCAACTCCCAGAATTCCTGAGTCAGCCATGCTGAGGGGAAATGGAGAGTTTCCAAACTGAGCCATGCTGACTCAGGAATTCTGGGAGTTGAAGTCCACGAGTCATAAAAGAGCCGAGGTTGCCTACCCCTGGTATAGACGACTGGCAAAACAGAAGACATCTAAATGGCGGAATAGCAAATAGCAAATAATATAGATATTTGAAGAATGTTAATTCATTACCTGTATGTCAGTGTCCTTTTCTTCCACTTAGGTTCTCCTGGGAAAAGTCGATAGTTTGCTATATCAGGGATACCACAGCGAGGCTTCTTTATTATATCTATAGTGCTGTGGTCCAACTTCCCGGTGACTTGTAAGCCAAAGAAAGTTTGCATCTGCTGGACTTTCCTTGTCATGGAATTGCCGCCACTGATCATTTCTGCAGCTTGGTGTCTTCCTTTTGGTGTGTAGTATTTGTCAAGGTAATCCTAAAGGCAGAGACATAAAGGAGTAAGTTGTCCTCTTATACATCGCAGGGGGAAGGAGATGACAAACAAATGTTCAGCTTTGCATAAAATTAGGAAGCCCTCATTTAAATACTGCATAGATCTATGTCTGCTATAACGTATTCCTGAATTGACTGTGCTGTGTTCATTTATTTATTAACCCCTCTTCTTTAAAAAATAATCTTCAATCAGGTTACAATAAAACAACCCAAAAGTACCACACTAAATTCCAGAATGAAATCCTCAAACTAAATCGTGACAATATTAGACAAAATTTACAAAATGAGATAGAAATAAAATTTAAAACCTAGTTGGATAGTACATATTAACTGATTCCAATCACTACTAAATTCTCTGTATAATAAAAGTTGACATCATCATCATCATCATCATCATCATCATCATCATCATCATCAATATAATGTTTATGTGAGTTGGTGCTCTGAATATTGTCCTCAATTGTTCAGTTGATCATTGTGGTTCAGAAACTTTAAAGCTCCTTATTATTTTTGTATAAGATGTTTTCAAGAAGTCTTTAAATATTCTATAGCTATTTAAACTGGATAGGTTTTTCAAGCCCAGTGTGATACAGTTAATTAAATGACAGTTTTCTGTTTTTAAAATGATGGTTCTAATCTCTGCATTTACAGTGTCCATTTAGTGAGGTAGCAAATCACACAAGCCATAGTTTGCTTAACCATGATGTATTAAACAAATCAAGGATGCAATGGATTTATAGTATGCATTAAATTATAATCATACATCAGCCACAATGGTTTGGTTTACACAACTTGTAAAACTCAACTATATTGTGACTCAGCACATTACATGGGTATTTTATCATTTATTAGACAGTCTTCTCCAACCTGGAATTTCCCGGATGTGTTGGGACTGCAGCTCTCAAGATTATCAGTTGCCAACAGATGTTAATCCGGAAGCTGCAAGATTATTGAAATATATATCATCACTACGTCAAGCAGACATATGTGTTTGGTGTCTATGTGTACAAGGGAAACAGATGAAATGTGCCTTATTATATTGTGACCTGAATCCTATGATTTACATATTTGTAAACCAAAGCATAAACATTTTGCATCTTAACATGCAAATAGGAAGATATCATTTTTTTTCTTCCTTACTAACATTTAGAATTATGGTCACTCTAATGCAGGTTAACAATTTCCAAAATTGCTTTCCTAAATTTATTAAAATATTATGAAATTGAATTTCCAGTAGCTTAACATTTCTAATGATCCATATAGTTGCAGGTTGCATAAAGTGCATGCTTAATATTTAAAGCAAGATTCTGTTATATTTCCAGTATGAGTCTTTAAGACTTAAGACCCTGTTGACATTTAAAGCCTATTTACCCCAATTGTATGGGAAAAGGAGATAACAAAACCACATGTCTTCTTCTAAATGGTGACAATGGTATCATCATTTGCGATAGAAATGCAGAGTTTCACTTATACAGCAGGATAAAAATGTTTGTCATGCAATACAAAAGAATTAAAACATTTTCCCTAATTTCTTCATAGGGCTACTAAGGCCAGAATCTAAAAACAACAACTTGTTTATCATAACATTTGAACAAAACTCTGCTGCATTGAAATTAAGTCCTGTTGATACCTACACAACCTATTTTTGGTATATGGTAGGCAGATGATCAGGGGACTGGAGACTAAAACATATGAAGAACAGTTGTAGGAATTGGGTATGTCTAGTTTAATGAAAAGAACAACTGAGATGACATGAAGTTCCAAGATCTCAGGGGCTGCCACAAAGAAGAGGGAGTCCAGCTATTCTCCAAAGCACCTGAAGGCAGGACAAGAAGCTATGGATGGAAACTGAACAAAGAGAGAAGCAACCTAGAACTAAGGAGAAATTTCCTGACAGATAATTAATCAGTGGATAACTTGCTTCCCGAAGTTGAGGGTGCTTCAACACTGGAGGTTTTTAAGAAGAGATTGTACAACCATTTCTCTGAAATCATATAGTGTCTCCTGCTTGAGCATGGGGTTGGACTAGAAGACTTCTAAGGTCCCTTCCAACTCTGTTATTCTGTTCAGTTATGCTAACAGTTAAGCTCAGTTCAATTGAAAAACACAGTAGGACCTAGGCTTCCAAATGTACACCTAGAATTGCAGCCTAAATCATTAAAGCATGCAAACCATTACCAACCTGGGCAATGTAGAAATCACTCCAGTTGGATGTTTTTGGCAATGCGAAAAGAGCCGGGGCTGCAGCTGAGTATTTCAAACAAAAGATCAAAAGTAAAGCTGAGGAAAAGATGCAAAACAGCTCCATTTCTTCCTATATATGAAGAGTGGCTTGAGAAGAGCATACAAAGAGATCCCATTCTCCTTTTATAGAGGAAACCTAGTTTGGAAGCTAAGAGCCAAGGTGACTCATGTCTCAGAAGGTAATTACACAGCTTAAAGCTTTGATGAAGGGGTCATACACCAGTACTTAGAGGAAAAGTTGGATTCTTTCTAACACATTAAAAAACATAGGCAAGAAAGAAACATTATAGAATGCTACAGAGATTCAGTGTGTTGGATCCAGAACAGAACATCAGTTTTATAACCATACTTATTGCTTCTCCACATTGCAATTACATCTACAGCCCCTTCTAAGAACCTCTTCTGAATATCAGAGGACTTATTCCATAACAAAGAGAAGGACGAGGGGGGACATGATAGCAGTGTTCCAATATCTCAGGGGCTGCCACAAAGAAGAGGGAGTCAAGCTATTTTCCAAAGCGCCTGAAGGCAGGACAAGGAGCAACGGGTGGAAGCTAACCAAAGAGAGAAGCAACCTAGAACTAAGGAGAAACTTCCTGACAGTTAGAACAATTAACCAGTGGAA